CTCTCTCTCTCTCTCTCTCTCTCTCTCTCTCTCTCTCTCTCTCTCTCATCTTACAATGTTAAAATTGAACACAAAACGTTTCAGAATATAATTATATATATTTGCACATTGCATTTAAACCTGTATTAAAGGTGTCTATTTTTAATGTATGGAGCATATTAATTTATTTGTAGCTAGCTTAAATCGATAAATGAGATTTTTAATTGATAAATGTCGATTTTACCAAAGAATACCCAAGTTTACCATGTTTCTCCAATTTTGCTGAGAACAAAGAGAATCTCCACAATGAACTAGTATAATTACATTGTATTGGGTTAAAAAAAAAAAAGGATTACACTTTTTCTGTCAATTTCTAATGTTTGACACTATTTCAAATGTGATAAAAGAACAGGAAATGTTTCCTCAACTTGTGGATAACTGCAAGTCTGAGGTTGTAACATATCGCTGGCACACAGTCAATATCTGACAGTGGATACAGGTGTTACACCTGTCTTGCTTTCCCCAGGATTATTTCACACCTGAGCCTGAAAATGTTCTTCCACATTTGCCAGCTGCCATCTGTTATGTTGTAATTATGTCAGGTAGTTCTTTGTGTTTCAGCGTTGTTCCTCAAAACCAGGAGCGACAAGGCGCTGAAAACCTCAGCTGAATATGTCACGGGTGCGAAGGAAACGACTAAATGTGGTCCATCAGGTACTGAAAGTTGCTAAACAGTTGAAGAAAACCTCCCTTGCTGTCTCACTGTCTCTTTTCAATCCGTCACAATCAGGATCAGAGGCGGGATAGAGAAGATACAGATACAGAGGTGAAACCAGAGATTCCTGGCGTGCAGGCTTTTCCCTCACTATTGTCACCTGCGAGGAAGGCCTCACAACAGGTGACACCAGCAACAACAACTTACACCTACATGTAGAAATCACAGCAGCTGCAGAACACACTCGCAGCATTTTACCACAGCCTCAGTACAGCAGCATCCTAGATTTACACTCCAAAACCTCTTTGCTTGCCACCTGCAGTCGTCCCGCCGCTGCTCTGGGGAAGGTGCTCCGTCTGAGCTGGGGAGTCCACGCAATAAAGGCTCGGTGTCCTGCCTGCGAGCCGTCTCCGGTGGAGCCCAGAGCACGACTGCAGAGCTGGCAAAGACTTCAAAGATTACCCACAGGGGAGAGGCCCCCCTGGCATCCAGATGTAAGTTTCCTTTTTTGCATTGCAGGTTATGCAGCGGCACACAACCGACCAGTCCTCTCACTGTATCTAGTGTTTACATTTCTCTCTATATTTTAGCACCTATGCCACTGTGTTTGCATTGCAAGCCAATATGTTTGAAATCTTTTCTGAGCACAGCTTTTATTTTTATTTTTTGCTACTTCTTTTCAGTACACCCTGCTCTGTATCAAGACTGTAGGCGTCCCCACAGTGCTGAGACTCTGGTTACAAACCGGTCCAATGAGTCCACTGAATCTGAAGAGGAAGACGAGGAGGAGTCAAGCTCAGCCTCCACTGGCCTCTCTCATCACCTGGAGTCTTTCAGTTCAGAGCTCAAGACAATAGTTTGTAGAGCAGTGGTAGAGCAATCAAGGCCACTTATCATTGACAAACTCGACAGGGGCTCTGCGGCGATCTGGCGAACATTAAACACAGGCCGGACCTCGTCACCAAGGAGGAACCTCTGTCACAGGAAGTCCACCACGGTGGCCCTTGAGAAGGAAGGATGTACCAAAGAGCTAGTGCACAATCAAGGATGTCAAGCAGCCCAGTCTCTAAAAGATAGCAGCGAAGGGATTTCATGCAGACCCAAACTAAGGTGATCATATGATAAACAGATTAATACGTTTTTGTAGTTTATTATATTTTCTTACCGACCTTAAAGCCTGGCTTTTTAATAATAGCCTACACTGAATAGCCTCATACATTAGAGGAGTTAATCGTACAGTTAAGTTGCGTTATCATTCAAAATGAAATGTCCTCAAAGACATTCTGGTTCATACGTATAGGCCGGCTGGGTACCGAAAAGGATTCATTTAATCTAAGATTAGTTCTAATCAGAGTTCAGAGTTTAGGAAAACTAGGTTTAAAACGAGTAAATCCAGATTTAAAATTAAGCAAAGCTCTGTTGCACGATTTAAAACGATAATCTCTGTTAAGTAAATCCAAGCTTAAATAGAGTTGAATCGATATGGAGATGCTTGTTCACCCAAACTAAAATAAACACATTGCTGTCAGGGCATAATAAATTCTGTAGCCTTTAAAATAAATTCTCATCAACCAGGACTGACATCTTAAAGGAATGCCACTTTAAATCCTGGCTTTTTGATAATACACGGAATAGTTTTACTGGCAGCTCATACAGTGTTTATTTATTGAGTTATCAGTCAAAAATATTCATCATATTAGATTTTATTCTGGTTTAAACTTTGATTTACATACATAGATTCGGTTTAATCCTAAATCTAGATTCACTTATTTTTGCTTAATTTTATAAAATATTTTAAGATTGAGTTTTTGCAAAAGTCTGATTAGAACTGATAAACGAATCCTTTGTTGAAATGTTGTTGAACTTGAATTGCGTCATGTCCTACTCTATTGAAGGTTGTATGAGGACATATTTGGCAATGAGGAGGATCGGGACTGCTGTCGGATCTGCCACAGTAGCGACAATTCACCAACTAACCCGCTACTTCTGTGCCTGTGTTTGGGAAGTCTGAAGTTCATTCACCTCGACTGCCTGAAGAATGAGACCGGTGAGTCGAGAGCTGATGGCGACAGAGGGACAGATCAGCAACGCAGATGCTCTTAATTATCCCAAAGAAGTTGAACGCAAAAGAGTGATTTATATTCAGGGATCATGGTTGATGTGTTTAGAAATGTGTATCCACTCTCTGCAGGCTCAGGGCCCTATTCTGCCAAAACATGTGCATTTTGTAAGGGGAGGCTGACACCGGACCTGGAAGCTGCTCACAACAAGGTCCGTGGATTATAAATAGATAAATAGATTTGATATTTAGAGCGCTTTGAGTGCGCTAATCAGACCAGATAAAAACTCGTGATTGATATGATGAAAGTTATGATTTTGACAACATTCTACAATGTCATACTTGTTTGTTTCTCCCAAATTGGAAACAGCACCAAATCTAGTTCCAAACACGTTTAAAATATTCTATGTTAAACTGAGGGACATTTTATTTTTTACATGGAATGGAAATTAATATTCTTTGGTTATTTATCGTGTCCTCAGGTTGGAAGGGTGCTCAGAAGACTCAGACGGTGGATGAACGTCGCACCAGGGTCATCTTGACGCTCAGCTGGACCTGTTTTCTTCTTCACATCTCGGCTGATGTGCAACTAAACACGAGTATTACAATAAAACACTGCATCGGATTCAAGCGAGTGGATCAATGTGGCAAATGTAAAAGCAGTGAAGATAGACAGTCTATTAGCATTAAGTTATTGTTTAATACAATATCCATCACATTTAGCAAACTATCAAGTGTTCATTTCTGTAACAAGTCATCACTCTTTCATTACATGAGACATTTCAGAACACAGATGTTGCTTCAGACAACTTCGACAGCTGGAAGTCAAACTCAACCATCAACAGTAAAAGTATAGAGTGAAGTGTTGTCTAGACTCGAGTTGATGTGACAGAGGAACTGGTTCCAACAATGTGCATCAAAGTCACATGAGTGAAATCACTGATGCTCCTCCTTGAGATTCCTGTGATGTGGCTCAGCTCTCCAACTACCTGTGAGGCATTCAAAGAAAGATAAAAGGTATCTGAGACCGATTCAGTACACACTGACATCAACTAAACTTAGATAAGGACAATGACTCTATTTAATACTTTCTGTTAATATGGCTGCATATTACGTCCATAATTTGACATTTAAAAACACAGAAAATTAGGTTTTTTTAATGCTAATAAAAAGTGTTTCACCTGTTCCCAGTTTCTGACGTAGAGGATGAATGTAGCCACAGCGATGACACCGACACCAACAAGCATGCAGTCCTCAGTCACTGTCACAAACCTCTCTCTGTTTAAAGAGAGATTATTTAGTATTGAAGCAGCTACTATCAATATTCTTCAGTTACAGGCAGTCAAAGAGTCAGATCTTTAGCTGAGGAGTTGAGTCGAAACCCAAAGAGAGCTTACAAGCACAGATTGTATAGAAGAAGTGGACGTAGTCTCCATGACGTCATCCATTGGTTTGTGGACGGCTGTTTTGAAGCCTCAAGTTTGGCATTTTGGACGTCGCCATCTTGTTTTATTTGCAACCAGAAGTGACACGAGAGGGTGGAGCTAAGTGCAACTGAAAGCTGAATAAGAACATTTACAATCAGACTTCTTTTTGCAACCAGAGGAGTCGCCCCTTGATGGCCATTAGAAACAATGCAAGTGTAAGACATCGGTATTGACATTATTGATGTTAAGCATTGGCTTCACTTTTCAGAACTGGAGGTTGTTGCCTGGCTGAAAAGGAGAATGGATAATGGAATGTTTGTGTTCACCACATCAACTTCAAAGGTGTAGGTGTTGTTTCTGCTGCCTCCACGTGACCAGAAAATCAGTTATTGCATATCTAATAACTACCTCACCAACACTTTTAGGCCGTACTTATAGTTTAACAGCGCTCTAATGGACTGCGTTTGTTTAGCGCCTGCCTATCGGGAGCACTTTGGGGTTCGGTGTCTTGCTCTGGGAAACTTTGAAGTGCAGACTGGAGGACTGCAGACAGTGCTCAGCTGGTCGGAGTCTACTCAACTGCCTATCAAGCAGCGTGTCCACTCTACCATGACAGGAACCACCTGTTCCCAAAAACAAATCTGAAAATGTGTCTCAAAGAGAAATGTACTCAACCTGTGTTCTGCGGATGGGCTGACACACCGAGTGGTCGTCACTAACAAGGAGTCGTAGATGGCGGCCCTCTGCAGGCTGACGAACTGGAGGACAAGGTGGCACAGTTGGTGCAGGCGCTCCACGGGGATGGATGGCTCGTTATGTCCTACAGAAGTTGAGTCACCGCTTTTAAAGTCAGCACAGCTGTTCAATGGATATTGTTACATCCTAATATTTAATATTAGTTACTCTGTGTTTCAATATGAGATGTCTTACCCAGCACCTCCAGAAGGATTTCCACATATGTCAGCGGGTTGGGAGCATTTAGTCTGAACTCAAGCCCCTTTAAGACCATCAGCTCTGATTCCAGGAGAGTCTGCTTGGAAACTCTGTGGCCGACTGACTGCAGAAAGCGCACAGCTGTATTGTTGTCGATTATCTAGAAAATGTTTGAATAATTAAAGTAGATTACTTCATTTTAAGTAACTTTTAAATGTATAAATCATAGGCATTTCAGGACTTACGTGACTGTGCAAAGACAGTTTGCTTGCAAGTTGCACGCAGGAGAAGACTATGAGGGGGAATTTGTCTTTGAGCTTGGCCAACACAGCTTCCTCATGACTTCCTGGTCGATCAGCAGCTGCACCTTCAAGTGTGGGCGTGGTCAACAAATCCGTAAGGTGCTTGACCATGAACCTGGGGGAGATGATCATTCACATAAAGCAACATCATAATGGGTGTGGCGGGGGAATAGAAAAGGCGCGGCTCCTTCTTACCTTTGAAGGAATTCGATGGCATGGTATCCGGCCAGCGGATCGAGACCGAGGTCTTGTGTTATCAGGAAGATGTATTCTATGACACACCGGAGAGGGAGGCAGGGCGTTAGTGAAGAACAGCAGAGAACAAAACAGACAAAGCTTCTGTTTGAACACAGCATGTTGGGACACAGTTCATAATCAGAGCACACAAAAGAAAGGAATTCATAAGGCATGAAATGTGTTTGGGCCATTCTATGTAAAGTAAAATTTTGAGGTGTTATTATGGATTAAGATACCACATTATGATATAATATATATTATACTGAATCGGGCCATTCTGCGTAGTCCGTAATTTTATGTAACATTTTGAATGCACTTTTACTTGTGAGTATTATAGTTCCTTCTGTTCTATGAGAAGCATGTTCAAGAAACAGACTGATTCCCATGAATTTATTTGTATGTCATGAACTAGGAAGCATAGTTGATTAGGAGTCATTAACACTGCTTTCCATCTGCTCCTCCTCAGTGGCAGCTTTTTTTTCCAGGTGCAGCTGTGAGACTCTGCTACCTGGAGGTGTTTGTACAACAGGGCTCACAGTTCCAGGTGTATGAAACACAGAGTGATGACAGGTTACAGAGGCGCTCCTGTACATCAACACCACCTGCTGACAACGTTATTAAAACTATTGCCAAATGAGTCTAATAGTCTGCTAATACAAGCCTCGTTTATATGCGATAGCAGTAATTTATCCAATAGTTGCAACAGTGAATACAGCTGTAAATCATGAATGAAGATGGAAAGAGGCATTTATCTAGCTGCACACTAATTATCACAGCTGTGTGTGGTATTACAAACTTAAATTGCACATAAAACAATATATAGCATAGCTGTTTCTTCCTTCTTTGAGTGAAAATGTTCAGTAAATATAATAAAAATAGATTTCTCTCCAAATAACGGTTATAAACGTAAACCCAGGTGCAAATCCGACGTTTGTTTGGCTCTTTCAGTAACGTTACTGCATTTAAAAAGGGCAGAATTAGCGTCAATAGTGCTCTCTGTGGTCAAATACACGTTAAGCTACTTACCCATTAGTTTTGTATCTTTGAACACTCCACTACATTTTGATAAACTGTTGAGGTTGTCTTTGTTTCTGTCGTTGAGATCAACGAGAAAATCTGTGAGTAGGTCAAAGGAAGCTTCTCGAAACTTGAAACTTAAACTTTGGCTTGGCGTACTAAAGAAACTTTTCGCCATTTTAGCAGAAAAAATATATTTACAGAAAAGCAAGTTTGTGTTTGTCAAGTATAAGCTTGTATCCTTCCAGAAGATGGCGGTGTTTCCACGGTTTTCAACGTCTCCTGGTAGGAACTTTAAAGCTGCCGGTGGGGGCTCCATTTAGCCGGTGCACCGTCAATGTGTTATTACTTCACTCGCTGCAAACATGGCCGACAAGACGCCGAAGGAGCACGTCGGTACCCCCGTTGCGACCAGGATAGACCCGACAAAAGAGGCTATTTCTGAAGGACAGCTGCACTTCATCCGGCAGGTAGAGCTCCAGCAGTGGAAGAAGAAAACACAGAAGCTGCGGACGCGAAACGTCGTGACGGGAATCGCCATTGGAGCACTCGTTATGGGAATTTGTATCCTTTGCCATGCGCAGTAACGTCCAACACAAGGTGAACTATGTAACGTTAGCATAGCATGCTAAAGTTACTCAGGGGTTGTTCGACTGTAACTGGTTTTTGAGTGCATGAACAAAATAAGACACAGGTTAAATGTTGCATTTTTATTAATTTGCATAACGTGCCGTGCACTTTACTATTTAATTGTAACAACGTTAAACGAGTTAAGGCACGCAAGGTAAGGTAAGTCAGTCTACCTGATGACTTCCGGTGTCACATCAACCTGTTCTCGACATTTTAAGACACACTTCTGTTGTTACTGCAGTCTATGGATGACCATGTTTTGTCTTACTAAGTCACAATTGTAAGGTTTTAAATTGACCCACCATTCCATAATGTTAAGCTACTATGAGCATGTCTTTTGTTTCATCATGCAAACCTTGTATAGACCTATATTAAGTTAACACCATTTATATCACTGAGGGTGAACTTAATATTAGAAAAACCTCACAGGATAATGCAACACTATTCAACTGCACTGCAGCTCCCAAAATTACTTTAAACTTGAATAAACACCTTTTTAAAAACCGTTAACAAAACTGAGCACTACCACCTTCATGAAGTTAGGAGGTATTGCAGTAATGGCTGCATTATCTTTAGCTAGGTGCACCTAATAATTAGGCAACCGAGTGTTTCAGGTTCTAAAATAAATAAGATGTGATATTTTGGTGTTTTTAATGATTAAAGGCGACCATAAGGGGTTCACACAGATGGCCAAATTACGTTTTCAGGCAATTGGATGCAAATTAGTGACTCTGGCACTGTTATATTTGTTATATATTTTTTCTTGCTGTCAAATATTTGCCTTGACCACTTGCTCCCCTGCTAGACGGCTACACATTTTACGCCGTCTCCCAGGAGCGGATCATGGATGAAATGGACGAAGAGGCCAAGCGTGCGAGACTGCAGGGACCGAAGACCGGTGCCAACTGAGACCCGCGTTGTTGGACTCTTGTGTCTGTCCTGCACTGCACTGAGAAGGGACTTATGTGGACTCTGATATATATTCCATTGGTGGCCGCTGTCTTTCATGTCGAGACAGCGGTGGGCTTTGTTTTGTCTTGATTGCGACGGTGAGGTTCTGCTGCTGACTTATAACTAGATGTGTCTTGATTTTTATTAAGTTTGCCTGTCAGCGGAAAGGACCAATCCACTGATCTTACATGCTTCCCGGAAGGCCAGACTGAAGAGCAATTTCAACCCTTATCCAACACGTCACTGGACCTGATCATGTGATGCATATACAGCCAGCTAATGATGTTAAATCTACAGAGGCCTTTAACAGCAGAGTAATGCCAGTGACACCCGGATAACCTGTTGAATCTTCTTTGTCTATAAAGTAATGATTTGTAAAATAAAAATCTAATGTATGATTTCTTTTAACGGAATTATGTTTAACTATTCATGTGAGAAAAAGACAGAGTGAAGCAGTAAAGATGACGAAAGCAGCCGTGGTATTTACAATTGCATTTATTTGTCAAAATTTGATATATGGAGTCTGATCGAGCCACCAAATCTTGGAGTAGAAATATAAAATAAGACGTCAAGGAAAGGCACAGATTCTGCAGAACAGCAGCTTCAGAAAGTAATACAATCATATATTTACATTCAAACTTTTTGGAACGAAAACTTCTCTGAATATATTACGAACTTTGGGAAATCTTACATCAGTTCCACTGCCAGAAGATTCAGTGTGTTCTTGATATTTCATAAGGCAACAGCTACACATTCACAGCTTGAACTAATTATTTAAAACTGTGGGAAGGTAGATCGTCGTTATTGTGATCATACATAACAGGAGAATATTCTCTACCTCCCTTATGGAAAAACAAAAATACCATGAAACATTACGTCTTCCTCAAGTGAACAGTCGTATCAAACATGTTAATGATTGAGAACAAAAGTTACTAAAGTGCACAAGGTGCTTGATCTATGGAACAAGCGACAAATTAGATTTTTGCTTGAGCAGGAGTTAAGGTTACCGACATGTTTAGTTTATCGTGACTTGTAAACATCTAAATCTACTATATACACACATGTACAATCAACAGGAGAGCCAGTAGTCTAAGACCTTGATGGATTTTTTTCACAACTTATGAAAACAGAAATCATATTTTAAAATTAAAACCAGCTATAGTATTTGAAGATTGTTGTGTGATGTCTTTGCTAACGTCTTCTGCACATTTCAACAAATCTCTTCGCATTTAATGGTTTCAAAAACGGATTTCCTCTCTGCGGAAGCAAGCTACGCTTCTGTCGCACAGCTCCTTTCTGATGCATTGATCTCCTTATTGTACTGCTGTGCTGTACAAAGTGACAAATCATTTTCTCTACGTCTAGGACTGCAGTCAAACCTTCAACAAAATGGTTCCATAATACACATTTGATTAAATCAAACTGTACAATGCATCTAGAGCCCCTGGAAGGATATATTCACTGTGCAGTCAGCAGGTGCTGAGACATTCACAAACTATAGCAAATAAGTTGCAAGATTATCCAAAATGTTGTCAGTAAAAAGGCCAGAGCCTCGCTGGGGTTCACGTTACGATGCTCAGATTGATCAACGGCAACAACAACCATCTTCATTCTGGCTCAAAGTCAGAGCAAAGTTTCCGCAGCACTTGGTACCATCGCTTGATTGCGTTAAAGCTAAAAGCTTGCTCGGATGAAACACTTAAAACAACCGGTTTACTGTTTCATTCTGAACTGTTGGGTCTTAAGAGTTTATTTACAAAAGCGCATTAAAAACTTTTTAACATCCAGATTTGGAACAGATTTTATTCTGTTCTTCGGTTGCAACAATTTCCCCAGGTCAGACGGAGGGCTGAAAGCTGGATGTTACAGTTCCTGTGTAAATTCCAGCTCCATCGATGACAGTTTTTATATTTATACGTTGAGGTAAATGACCACTGGCAGAGGGAAGCAGTTTGCTGATCGGTGAGCCAGTGAAAAGTGTTAAAGCGATCCACCCACAGGACGGAGTTGGACCCCTGCAGTCACACTTCAGATGAGGTAGTCCAGATACACAGCGCGCTCGGCTGCAGAGTTTCTTACTGGGGAAGCGAGAAGAAAACAAATACATGAAGTGAGAACGAAGCATTTAGTGACATGTTTAAAAGGGTAGAACGTTAGTGACATGACGTCTGTTAATACAGAGTTCACTCACCATTCTACTAATGTCAGTGGCGAAGGTGACGCCAGGTTTGTTCAGTTTATCCTGGGAGCCGCCGCTGCTGCTGCCTCCAGTGGAGTTTCTCCTAATGATACCTAGGAGAACAAACGTGTCGTATTAATACAAAAAAAAAAAACATGAGGTTGTCACATACAAGGTAGTACATGTGGACATTCTCGCTTACCTTGGAGTGGCAACATGTCCAAGCGCTGCAGGCTGTTCCTGCGGGACGAGGGGAAGCCGCTGCCCTTGGAGAGGCGGCGCTGCCGGCTGGAGAGCATGGCGGCAGGAGAGACGATGCCCGGAGGGGGAACCTTCCCCATCTTCTCATACAGCTCCTCAATCTCTCTCTTCTGGGTGGCCTGCAGGCTCTGCACCTCCGTCAGATGTCTAATAAGGGACAAGAAGTAGCACATAAGTGCACTTGTACTTACATTTTGTCCGCTCATGTGGTTTAACTGTATTGTGTATGTTTGTTTTATCAGAATGTATCATGTTCTGCTGACATCCTTTGTATTATTTTGTTAGCGCAGAACATCAGGCAAAGGGACTGCAGATGAAAACTAGCCTTTCAGCTAACTCATGTACATTTACATTTGTTTGAATGGTGATTAATGTACATGTACTCTTTTAAAATAAATAAAATGAAAAGTGGAAAAGTCAGTAAAACAAATAGTCCTCGAAAATCCTTGCCGGCATGTGGATTGGAGGAAATTAAGGCCTCAACAAGTTTGTTATGACTGGTTTGACTTTTTGTTTCAAGATCTACTTTTACTTGACTTAAAAATATAGAAATATAGCATCATAACTGTAGTGCTGAAACCATTTTTGGATTAATCATTTGTCAATTTACAGAAATTGATTCTACAAATGTATTCTTAAATGTGAGGATTTGTGGTGTTTGATTTTTTACTTTAATCTTGTGTCATACCAAAACATGAAGTCATTTAAAAGTGTGTGATGAGTGTGAGAGCCCCGGTGAAAGCTCTTAATATTACTATCATATTCATATTCTTGTTGACTACACTCTTTTCAATGTCAAAAGCTTTGTTGACCTTTGTCACTTACTTCTCTCTGAGTTCCTGAAGCTCCTCCAGCATGACGGAGTCGTCGCTGTCGGAGTCGTCGCTGCTGATGTAGGGAGCGTTGCGGTTGTAAGTCATCAGCCATAGATGATGAAGGGCGTTGCTGTACTGCGGGCTGCCTGTCGCTCCGTCCCACAGCCTCCCCTCCATCTCAGCCGGCGTCACGGAGAGTCCGCTGTCCGCAGACGTCCCCATCAGGCTCAGGCTGTACGCTCTCCTCCGACACCTCCTCCTCGTCCTCTGTCGTTCCCCAACAACCTCTTCCTCCCCCTCCTCCTCATCATCCACCTCTTCTTCTCTGTCCTGCTGCTTCTCTTGGCTCCATCCCAGCTGCCCGTCCCCCCCCTGGAGGTCCCCCGTGGTGGACCCTCTGTGGGGATGCTGGTGAGGAGGGGACAGGGTGAGGGAGGTGCCCAGGCTCGTCTCGGACTCCCCCTGCTCCTCTGTGCTGCTCTCTGACGGGGTGCTGCCGCTGTCTGCCGGCGGCGCTGCAGCAGGTACGGCACTGGCTGGCACGGCGGGCGCAGGGATGTGCATGCTGGGCGTCACCTGGAATCGGCCCACAGTGACGGGTGCAGACTGGACTTCTGTGAAGAGAAGAGAGAGAAGAGAAGGTGTTAATCTGGGGTGGCCAAACTACGGCCCGCGGGCCAACTGCAGCCTGCTGCCTGTTTAAACAAGAATATGGCAGGAACATATTTCTAATAAATTCCACTGTATGTCAATTGCATATCATAGTGGAAACACTAAATGTCGACTGAATTTAGTGAAATTATCTCAAACTCTTGGCACAGAAATCAATATTTTACCATCTTTAAATCAAGCTTTATTTATTTATCTTTCTAATTATTTACAATATTTCACCTCTTTAGTCTGGCTTTTAATTGAGCTTTACTTATTCCAAATCCTACCTCTGGTGTTTCCTCATTTCCTGTTTTTTTTGTGTGGTTCTGTTATTATTGAATCTTTTATTAATTACAAAGAAATGTATTGTTTGTGTTTGTGGATGAGGGGGGGGGTTGTAGTGTGTGAAGCACTTTTGTGTCACATCTTATTTGTATGAAAAGGTCTATACGAATAAAGTGTGATTAAATGAAGCATCTATGGCAGATATTAACCGATAGCTGTGATGGAGTTGTTCATCTGGTGTCACAAACGCTGCATGAACTCACTGGCTTTCAAATCCTGCAGTGCCTCCGTTCGCCCACTAAGTGTCCCTCTTACAGTAAACACAGATGGTGTTTGGGTCTGCGCCCACTGAAACAGAGGGACTCTGTTGAGTGTGGGCTTCTGTGGGGTATAAACACCGACTGGCGTGGGTATGGGAGGAGAGGCCTGTAACGAGCGCCACTGCTCGCTGATTGGTCATTGCCGGTGGGAAGGGCCGCAATAACACCTACGTTTGTGTTCGTTCTGAATGGAACATTACGTGCAGACTCGCCGTTACGCAATGGCTCCTGAGGCACCGCCAGTACGTGAGGATACATCGCAGAGAAAGGGAGAGAGAGCTGAAAACAACTCCAAGGCCAAACTGGCCGTAACCGAGATCTCAGACTGTATTTAGACCCAATACATCATGAAAAGCAGCAAAGGGGGGGGAGAAGAAACTGCGTTTGTGTGTACACACATGCATGTGTTCTGGGTTTGTTTGGGGTGCAAACATAAACTTTATACAGTGTATGTCATATTCCAGCTCTCCCAGCACCCCACAGGCTTGTAACGTACAACACATTGGGCATTTCTGATGCAGAGACGGAGGAGAAACTGTTGCAGGAATTATTTCTTACCAGGTTCAGAGGAGGCTTTTGGTTTTGGGGTGCTGGTTTTCATCTCAGGTATAGCAGGGTGCAATGGAGTGCTGAAGGATGATAACTGGACAGGAAGAATAAACATTGTTAGTATTAGACGTGACCCGTGACACATATTCATGGTCAGTTATCTGTCACGGTGCGCCAGCAACACTGTTTTAGTGTCACAGAAATCCTTGGCCTGATGCTCGCTTAGATAAAATGATCCAAATGAGCACCACACAGTGCAGCACACAGATTTGAAATGAGGGAAAAACTAACCCCTCATAATGGATTAGAGACTGGTATTGGTAGATACTTAGAGTTGAGGCGTTGGAATAAAAACATTGGATCGTTGTAAGTCAAATCTTTTAAATTAATCTATAAAATAAAGAAGTGAAAGAAGCTGGATTTCCCAGAGCCCAAAATGGTGTCTTCAAATAGCTTGTTCTGTCCCACCAAAATACAAAGTTATCCAGTTTACAATCGTTTAAAATAGAAAAAAAGGGGAAAAACCTCACATTTAAGAAGTTGGAAGCGCTAAATGTTTGGCATTTTGGCCTGAAAAATCATTGTATGTCAAATAACTTTCTGTCGACTAATCATTTCAGCGATGATTTTCATGCACACATCATCATTTTAAATAAGAGAAACTGAGGAAGAAGCAACTCACAGTGCTGTCTGGGCTCTCAGGGGGAGATGTTGAAAGATCTGAGTTTGAACTGGAGACTTCTGATTTGGGTTCAGCCTGAACTGGAACCTGTGGCAAGTATGAGGCCACATAACCGTGGAGAATGTCCTCCTGGGTCATGCCGGTGGGACTGAAGAGTCCAACCTGCTGAAAGGGCTCCTGAGGAGCCGGCGGAGGAGTGGAAGGCATAGACAGTGGAGAGACAGGATGCAGCAGGCTTGGATGACAGCTCTGAGGAAAACCTGCTCCATCCATTAGAGGCAAATTCTCAAGGTTGTGGTAGACGTTGTTCTGGGCTGTGAGGTAATGAGCCTCTACTGGTGAGTTCTGGTAATGTTGTGGGTACATGGAGGGGTAACCTGTCAGTGGGGCCATGCGAGCGGGTAGCTGGTGGTGGTAGCCTGGATAGGAGAGCATCCCCTGGGCGGGCATGCCGGCAGGTGGGATGAAAGACTGGGCCATGCTCATCGCCATTGAGATGACATTAGCTAAGGAAAATAGAGGCTGCGTGTGGGCGGGCCACATGTTGGGATGCTGAGGGGTAGATGGAGACATGGCGACACCATCACTGCTGCCAGAGCTTTGGGTCTCATTGTGATTCTGACTTGGGGAACCGGGGCCCGGGGAGGGGATGGAGGAGAAGGTGGGGTTACTGGCTACGCGTGTGAGGGGAGGATGGATGCCCGGCGTGGGGGAACCTGGAGAGCCTGGGTATTGGAATGGGAAGTTATTGTGGCCCATGAAGGGCAAGTGGTAGTGCTGGTGGTGCGGCAGGAGAGATGCAGGGTGGTGGTGCTGATAATGGAGGGGAGACCCTGGAAGACAAAGATTTAAAAAGCAGCTTTAATTTGATGTTTCTTGGGTAAAAACTGCAAGAAAAAAACATGTACAAAGAGGAAAGCGTAGTTGTCCGCCAGGTGTGCCTAAGACGACCACTGCTGTATTATGTGATTGAACGAAGCTTTCAGAATGTTGGTTTGCCACAAGGTGAAACACACACAGATATTTGATCCAGAGAAACCAGTTAGATCACTCGTTCTTCCTCTCTCCTCAGGGTTTAGTCAGACTGTTTCTTCCTGCAGCCCCGTGCCAAAGACATACGCCATGTGGAGAATTAATCTTTCCCGTACTTTCAAATAATGGTGTTTCCATGGTGAACAAAGACATTTTGTTTGAAGCAGTACCGACTATAATTGCATTTGTAAGCCGGAGCAGTTGCACACCGGGCTTAGATGGCTGTGAGGGATTCAGCATCAATGGAGCGAGGCTCGATGCCTATGACATTTTGGAGGAGCATAAAATGGAACACGCGTGTTTGTGTACACAACTCATTCAGGTCTGATTGTGAGATTTAAAAGTGGTCAGCAGTTCTACATCACTCACTGGGGAATAGTTGAGCCAATATCCGAGCCCCATCCATTGATTTGACATTTACCTCAACAATGGCTCCACAGTTATAAACCACGCCTCCTGTTTCCCGATGATGCAAACCAGCCTCTGCTTTTTCCATGCCGACGGAAACATAGGTTAGGCAACACTCTACAAGGGTGGCGGGTGGCCAAGAAGCATTGCGAAAGCGACCATGCAGTGGACGTCCAGCGGAGAGGGGACAGGGAGGGATTAGAGCGTTCAGATACAGGGGACATATGGAGGACGTGTGTTCTTTAATTGACCCCCCCCCCCCCCCCCCCCTTGGGGAAAAAGACTTGGACAGTGGGAGGAGGCTTTCTTGGAAATTCTGTAGGAGTTTGTGCTGGCAAACAGATGTTGCCAACTATCGCTAACACTGGAGAAAAGCTCATGCTTTACAGCGGCCGCATTCACAGCTCCCTAAAAGCCAGAATGCGCCCTTCAGGTGAGGTAATTACCCAAGAGGCCCAGCTGCAAAGCAGACACAGACGAAGGCTTTGAGGTGTAGGGATGGCGGATGGCGCCACGTCTGAACAATACCAAGGACAGGCCGTGAGAAGGGGAGAGAGGAGGAGGGTCTATGAGGTAGCTGAGCTTGGCTTTGACTTATTCTTTGCCAAAGGACTGAAACAATTTCTTCAGTGTGCTGAAACAGTAAACAATGCCGGGCCTCTTCACGCAGGGACCAGAGGGAGGGCTATTTACCTGGACCGTTGTGGAAAGACTGCGAGCGGATTAGAGGTCGGCCAGGTGAAGTAATGTCTGCACTGAAGACGTCTCCATTGGGGCTCAGGGGAGAGCCACATGCCTCTACGTTTGGGATAGCCACACTGAAGTCTACAACAAGACACACATGCATGAGTGGATGACCATGCACAGTTAAAAAAAGAAAAACATGCAACAAACAAATGCAAGTTATTCTGACATGTGAGAAAGACAGTCTGTGTGCAGGTCACACACACTTAATGTTAACTTGGTGAATTTCAATCTTCCATGACAGGATTAGATTAAAAGATTCATGTGATTCATTCATATCCAATATAATCTCCTCATGGATCAAATGATCCTCGTGAAAGCGTGAATTAAGAGCAGACATGAGACTCACCGGGCAGAGAAGAGGAGGAGTGTGTTCGAGGCAGGATGTGACTGTGCAGATTAGGCTGGAAGAGAGCACATTTTGATCAAACTCAGTCTCCACTGCTAACCATGGTGTGATTCAGCTGCAGTACAAAACTAACCGGCACTAATAGGTTGGGGAGAAGCCGATCTGGAGAGTATTGTGTTCATATTAATGGAGCACTACTTAGTATGGACTTAGTCCATCGTGCCTGTTGCTGCAGGCTTCTGAGCCACAGATGTTAGTAGAATCACACCTCATTATTTCATCCTCTTTGACATTTGTGTGCTTCGCATATGAATTATTGAGTTATGACGAAGTGAACGTAGTCACAGTGACGTCAACCACAGATTAAGTTATACAACTGTATTTACTGGTTGGTTATTAACTGATAAATTGACTTTGAAAAGTAAAACCCAGTGCAGTTGTTCAAGTGGTGGATAAAGGAAACAAGCAACAGCTAGACAAACATGGTTTTCCAGGTAGTCAAGCTCCATTTACACACAGTGTCTCTTCCAAAAACTCTCAGAATAGCGCCCTACCTCAGAGATACAACAGCCAGAAGAGAGCCGAGTCTCTGTGGGTTCCTCCCTTAACTCAACTAGCCTGGTCTGTTTTTTTTTTTTTAATTTCAATGTCTGGACAGTGCCGGGCAGAGCGGTCATAATGAGCCTTGTGGGATTGCGGCCCATGCAGTGTTTTTAATCAGAGGCTGGAGTGGAGCCATGAGAGATTTATCCACAGTGGTTGAGGATAATGATGCAGCCAATGGGTGGGAAACAGAGTGAATAAGGTAGATAGTTGGCCGAGGTTTACTCCTCTTTCTTGCCCTACATTCAACCACACATTTATTCTTTTCTCGGTCATTGATGAACATCTTGGATCATTTTCACTGGAGGGCACAAGGAGATCTTGTTCTGTGGAACATATCTTGGCAGAACAAACGCTTCCTTTGAGTGAACATACCTGATTAGGCATTAGGTCATATCTTGTACACTGTGGCACGGCTACGAACAACTCTTTGTTTTTCCTGGATTTTTTGTTTTTACAATTTTACAGGATTCAGAAAAGCTTAATGAATCCAAACTTTAATTATTCTACCCATTCAACGCGGGCAGACATGCTGGAAACTTCATTATGGTGTGAGCCCCGGAAACGGTTTGTGGGAACAAATAAAGGTGGGGGGGGGTATGTTCCCACAACTCACAGAGATTTATGACATTAGTGCTTTTAGTAACATGATGTTCTAAATGCAAGAAATACCTCAGGTGGCTTTAGGGACACTTATCCTCCGGAGGGATTATAGACAGTGAAGAAAGCACTACTCTACAGCTTTCCATTTGCACCAGATTTATGGGTCTGTCTTTGATAAGCACAGCTAGACGCACTATAGCCGATGTAATTTATGATTTTCAAACATACGCTCAGTTACTTCCTTTTGTTCCCGGGCTAACGGTGCAGTGATGTGGAGCTGCTGCTGACCTGTGAGGAAGACAACGAGTTAACGCCGTGGTGGAAAGCCGGCGCAGGGAGCCGGTGCCCGCTGGAGTGGACCGGCTGCTCTTTGGCCATCAGAGCCTCGGCCCGTTTGATGATGTCGCCCATGCGGTAGATGAAGCCCTCCTTCTCTGACGGCAGGATGAACTCATTGTGCACCTTGAAGAAGAAAAGAAAAATGGTGGAAGAAGTGTTTAGATACTTTACTTAAAATGTGGACAAAATGTAGAGAATTATAAGCGCAAAGCAGCAGTAAGTAGAAAAGAAAAGGTACCTTAAAACTGTACTAAAGCACAGTACTTTAAATGTACTTTCCACCACTCTAAAGGAATAGATGAAGGAATACAGTACATGCTCCAAAATTGTCGTCTATGTGTCTGTCAACGAAATCTAGCCACCACCTTACCCTCAGCTAAAGACCTGCGTCACTCGCTTCACAGAAGGTTCAGACATATCATCAGCCAGAGATAGCATCGACATACAAAGAGCCATTAACCGAGAGCACGATGAATCATGTGTACCTTCAGCTGAGATAGAGGAATCTGCCACACTTATCAGCTGACAGTGACTTCATTTATTCATTTCTGTGTCCTATAAAAGTTCTGAAAGCTTCAGTCTGTATAAACCAAGACTGATTAGTTCCACTATTAACCCGTAACATCCTCTTTATTTCTCCTTTGTTGGCTTCAATGTGAAAAAAAACATCCACACTGTCGGTCAGTATTATATAGATTCTGTTCTGTTCTCAGTGAAACATCCAAACCCAAACCTCCGTGTTATTGTTATGGCTGCATCATTCAATCAAGTAGAAATATCATAGATGTTTTGTGCATCATTTTCAGCCTGACATATTTGGTATCTTGAGACATTTTGAGATCTTCCCTAGAATTTGAAATGAAGTGAGCAAAGTGGCTGCACAGCACGAGTCTGTAATGATGTTAAAAGTTTTACATGTTTTATGTTTCCTCTGCCATGTCATTCAAAATGAGATTATGTGACATTTGAAAGAAATATAACAGTTACAGTCATAATAAAAACAAACAACCATTGTCCATGAAAACACACTTTAAATCCAGGTTCTGGTTCAAACTTTATTTCTCAATTGAAAAATTCTTAGGGTATAGATTCAAGACTCTTATTGTCACTTATTTATTAGTCATAGCTACAAAAAAGAGAGAAAAGCTCCAATTGTGGATATATTTGATCAGAATCAAGGTCCAAAGTCAGCGCTAAAGTAAAGATCTGGGATAAAAACAGAAGAAACCCTCTTTATTTAACCTGATGTGTTTTATGATTGACATTCTGAATATGGGACCTGTTGATCATTAAGCAGCAGCAACAACTCACCATGACAGCAGCAATGTCTTCAGGGTTATCTCCATCCAGGTCAAACTTAAAGGTCACCATCTTGTCATTGTGCGTCTGCAGCTGACACTCCACCACGCGGTCCACTTTATCAGAGAGCTGCAGAGACGGACAGGGTCAATGGCAATGACAGGTGTGTCTGTTTACCCTCTACACCACTGAGCAAAGCTAAACACAGGAGGAACAATGTGTGTTTGTATGCATGTGTGTGTGTGTACAAACATCTACGGTAAAAGGCAGTGTGTGTCGGTGTGCATTGCATGATGCACTCTTTGAACCACACGTGGTGATGCATGATCTGTTCGTCTCTGCCTCCGGGCCAAACACGCTCGTTAAAAGACCACAGAATGTCCTGATCAGAAGAGAAATGTACTGCGGTTGCCGGGGGAATAACAGCACGGCTACTGATAAGGTAACGTGGGTGGAGCCTCACCGCATCCTTAATGAATTAAAATGAATCCACAGATTCAATCCAGCTGCTTGATTCATTTGTTTGTGATGTGCTGTTGCAACATTGTAATTTACCCCTGTGATGCGCAGCCTCGAGCGCGCCCTCCTCCTGAACAGCTTCCCCGCCGTTCGCCTCGCAGCCGTCTTCTCGCAGAGGCCCTCGTAGCCGTCGCTCAAGCCCGAAGTCACATCGGAGGCGTAGCTGCAGAGAAACACAGCATACGTGCTACTGTTGAGCAAAAAACAACTCTCCAAAAAAAGCCATTGAAACCTTCCTCAGGCAGAATCATCAACAGATCATCCATCATGGCTGATTATCTTGGCATCACACATAATAATGAACAGAACTCTGAGGTGTCAGCATCTTGGGTGTAAACAGCAGTTAAACAACACATTTTAATGAGCAACTTTATGAAGCAACGCGTCGACGTGATCTCTTGTGTACAATGGACGAGTTTTCGGTTTTGGAGAACTGGAGAACATTCGGCAGTGTTTTATAAAAAGCTTTGCTTCAGCAGCTAATTGCGTCTCCTGGGTCTTTTTTTGAATTGCTGCGGTCACAGACTCCCCTCCACCCAAGGCTGCAAACATTTACAGGCCTACTGGTTGTCAGCGTCCACTTGTCTCCATTTAAAAACCTCCAGCTCACGGGTAACTCGGGTTCAAAGTAAAGCCTGTTTTCACCTTCAAACACAGAGTGCATGGAAATCGGACAAAGTGAGATTAAATTTAAGTGAGACATATTTTAATCTCAATGGTTTTCATTTAAATAAACGTCTGTTGAGTCACTATCTATCACTGAGTGAGGTAATAGTGGCGATTAAGCCAATGGCTCATTGATAAAAGCCGTTGCATTTGCAGTATTACTTACTGGAGCTGCGTTACAAATCACATACTTTTTCTTTTAGTACATGCTGCAGCTGCTTTTACAAGGTGCACACTGTTGCACACAGTATGCATTCATTTGGGACTACGACACACATTTCTGGCATACTTAATAGTAAGAAAGTACAGGTATTGGAACACACACTGGATGTCTGTGGCGACATTCCTGGGAAAACGCATCCGACTCGCTCTTCAAGTCACGTGTGTTTGAAGCGGCGTACTATTTTTTTCTGGATGAATTAATGAACCAAAACCATCAATTATAATAACAATCGTTACTTTGTGTGTGGCGACAATATCATTCTCCAAGACAATACGGTCTTTGATCGGAAGATAAAGTGCAGATGACAACACACAAACACACACACAAGAATAAAGTCTCTCTCTCTCTTAACATCCCACCAACATGGAAAACAGGGCCTCCGCAACATCACACAGAAACCTGCAAGGGTCCACGGGGCCTCTCTGTAATGAAAACACAGAAGAGCCTGTCGATTGCCTCTAGCTTGTTGTCATAGCCCCACAGATGTTGAGGAGGAGGAGTTACAGAGGGAAGACCTCTCTACTAGAGGATCTCATTGATTTTCCCCTGACTTCAATAAAGAAGGGAATATTGACCTTCCTTGTTCCTTGGATGTTTAAAAAAGAGAGAACGTTACCTGTCCACAGGAGAGTTGAAGCCACTGGGGAGCCCTGAGTTGCCATGTTCTATGTTGTTGGATACGGCAATACTCTATAAATAGAAATGAGGGAAGTGGTGAGGCGAAAGTGGATTAAAGACATATTTAAGTGTTTGATTTATTTCAAGCCAGTTACGTCAACACAATCTTAATGTGGCATTATTTATGCATTAAATCCCTAAATTTTGAGATTTGCTTCAATAAAAATAGACACGTATATGGTGATGGTTTTTAATAAGGGAAGACAATGCTGCACCACTAAATCATCAATTAAATCATTTGAAGTTCTGCCACAAAATTTTATATTACCTCTGACTTTTTCTCTAACTATTGGATGGATTGCTAGAAAGTTGGCTGAAATATACAGCACACATCCTCCCTCGGGAAGAATTGTAAAATGTAGGTCAACTTTTATTGTCACAGCACAGCACACAGTGAAATTCAGCCTCTGCATTTAACCCAGTCTAGTATTAGGAGCAGTGGGCAGTTACTACATAGCGCCTCGGGAGTGATTTGGGGGTCTGGTGCACCTCTCCTGCTACCAGGCCAAACTCTGTACTTTGGTCCAGGTGGGGACTTGAACAGACACCCTCTGGTTCCCAAGCCAAGTTCGCACAAACTGAGCTTTACTAACTTTTCATCTAGTGCCATAACTAAGTAAAAATTTCAGTTACAAATACTATTATAACCTGGGACATCCCATCAGCCTCTGCTGTACTTTGTGTTTAGTGCTTGCAAATGTTAGCATGCTAACACGCAAAACTGAGGTACAGAACTTTCTTGCTTTGTTGGGAAATAATTAAGTTATTAAAGCAGATCAACAATAAGGTAAACAGACTTCAGGGTAGTTTGAAATGGAAAAAGTGAGTTGTGAGTTACGACTGCTGAAGGTTTTGTGAACCTCATTGTCAGGTGTTACTCTCCAACTATACACTGTTTACATAACTCCCTGGCAGCACTGTGTTAGACTGAGACATGTTGATGAAGGAGGTCTCGTAAAGTCTTCAATGTCATCCTTCTCGCCTCCACACCCCCTCTCCATGCTCTCCACGCTTTGATGACAAGCTCTACAATCGAGGCCACTCACCGAGGGGAAGCGGAGGGCCGGGATGGGGAGGCCGTTTGCAGCCGTCAGCGCGTCGGTGTGCGTGGTGGGAGGGGTCCCGGACGCGTTGAAGCTGCCGGCCTCCAGCGGATCCTGAAGCCCAGAGGGGCTCAGATAGCCATCCGTCTCGCAGTCAGCTGTTTCAACAAAAGGACATAAGCCATTAATTAGCATGTGACCAACTGTGGCTTCACTAACTGACACAAACTGTACAACACATACACACACGACCTGAAACAACACATCTAATGACCCCAAACTGAGACGTACCCCACTGTGGATTAACACTGCTCTGGAGACACACAGGCAAATTTATTTAGAGATCAAACTGATCCACAAGGACCACCAACAAGAATATTTGCGTTGTTTCAGATAAAAACTGAGAACAGCTCTCTGTTCTGATCTCAAGTCAAACACTTGTCTGCAGAGTTCACGTTTAGAAAAGAAATTCTGAGATATCGCGTTCACAAGAATATCTTTGAGACAAGGGAACAGGAAGTTAAAAAAAAGCTATTTGCCAGTTATAGGATTCATTCCTGCAGCACACTATTGGTTTCCAAAGTGTTTTATGAGCCAAAGAATTCGATCTGAAAACATGCAAACACCACGGATGTAGAGAGCCTACAAACATTTCCTTGTATGTGGTGTTTTATGAGGCGGCTCACAGTTAGCTGAGGACAAGCTGTTGTGGCGGATGTGGAAGTGCTGGTCTGCCTCTGGCTCCTCCGGCTCTGCAGGGTAGTTGGAGCTGACTCCAGAGTCCACTGAGCTGGTGACGGGGGACAGGATGGGGGCCCGAGGCGTCAGGGCCGGGATGGGGGACTCTCTGGCGACGACGTCGCTGACTTTAGGTAAAGAACGGTGAGTCTCCGCTTCCTCCTCTGTGGCTTCTCGCTCCTGCTTCTTCTTCCGCTCCTCCGCCTGCCGCCTCAGCTTCTCTCGCTTCCGCTTGATGGCCGCCACCCTGTCCCGTATGGCCTTGGCCACGAGCTTGAAGTCTGCCTCACACACAAAGCCAAGCACAACCTGCGTAAACACAGCACACAGAAATGGTCAGGGCACAACATGAACATACATAAATATATATATAAGTCACGGTCCCTGGTGTCCCGCCACATTGTGTAGACAAGGGCTGTTGCACTTATTGACCTGCTGTGACATTTGTGAAACCAAAGCACACAGACTCCATTCTTCTGTCTTACACAGCCTCTTGTGACACCCAGTCCAGCAAAGTGGGACACTCAGTCCGAACCCGCCTCTCAACACATAGTCGGATTACAGCAGATCGGCCGGACTAGATGTCCCCTGCTGATACCAAATTTGATCTTGATGAAAACTACCACACAGAGGTAAACAGGTAAGGAATTGTGGGTTGCATTTTCATTAAAAGCGACCTCTATGGAGGGGGGCATAAAGGCCCGTTTCGTTACAGGCAGGAGAGCCATTATATTATTAAAGACGTGACCTCGGCGGCTTCCTGAGACACGATCTCACATTACGAACCGCTGATGATTAAATGTTGAGTCGTGCCCTTGACACACTCTGCAAGGCGCTCTCTTTATGTGCTGGAGCGCTTTTCAAAGCTGTAAAAGAAGACACAATAATGATGCCTGGGTGCATTAGTGAACCTGCATTTACTGTTTGGGGGTCAAGTGTCAAAAGACGGATAACTCAAAGGAATTTCTGTTTCGCTAATACTGTCAGATTCAGTTATGTGATGTTAGCTTAACCTGTGTCTTTTGATCTGTATCTCAACTTAACAATTAGCTACGAGAAACACTACAACTGAGTCCAATCTAGGCTGTCATCCAACCACATGGCATCCTTCTTTTGTGTGGAGGAATCTGGCGCTTAATTGCATTAGGAGAGGTCAATACTAACTCCATATCCTGTCATCCTTCCCCCAGAAAACCTATAAAATCACCATAAATCTAGAACAGGATGCACAGAAAGGGTTGGCTGAGGTCGCCGCTATCCGTTGATCAATTACTCAATTTCCTCGCTAACGGCTGCAACAAACTGGGTGAGCGAATCGGTAACGGTCTGCCTACCATCTCCTGAGACACTTCCTCGGGCACGTCTTTGTAGAGCTCAAACAGGAACTCGATGGCGTTGTTGTCCTTGTACTTCCCGTGGAGCTTCTTGGTGTCGTCCATGCGCAGCCACAGCTTCAGGCCCGACTTCACCATGTCGTCCTCCTCCGCCAGCTCCACGTGCACGCCGTTGTCCTCCTGGAAGAAGGGGTGATCCAGGAGGTCCTGAATGGTGAACCTGCAGCAAAGGAAGGAAAGCAGTCGTTAAGACACATCTTAAAAGGACCAGCTTGCAGTTTTTTAAACCCAGACCTTGATTTAAAGTTGTACTTTATAATGCATTATAGTCATTTGCATGGTAGAAAGTGTTACCGACACATCTGTCAGCCTCCTGGTTTTGTAAATAAAATATTATATTGTTTTTGATACAATCCTGCAGCGGCTTATATGATTCATTGAAGTTGTTTAAACATGATAGAAAACAGCATTTTAATACAGTTTAGGTAGAAAAACAGCGAGCCACTTTGTCAGTTGCACTAGTTTGTAGTCAAACTCCTTTTCAAATCAGCCAGAAGAAAACTCCTGGAACAGGGATTAGTGCACTTTATAATAGAGAATAAGAGAGCTGTTTGTTATTTTAACGGTGTTGATCACAGTGTGTGTTTCTACCTTTCATCGTTGTTCATACGAATGCAGCCCTCAATGATCTCCTTGAGCTCCGGGACTTTGACTTTGTAGAAGCTATCAGGTTTCATTCCCTGTGAACACAATCAGGAGAGTTTGACTTCATCTGCGGGGCTTCATACTGAATCGACCAGTACCAGAGGAGGGTGCTGCTTTAAACAGAATCAGTGATCAATAGCATCGATCTCATCCTTGTGCATTTATCCCGCAGTTCTCCTGTCAGGAGGATCTAATCGAAGCAGTAGCAGACACTCCCACCTTCACTGCATGTTAATGCTCTGCTTCGAGGCATCTCTTCGGCTCTGCGATCATGTCAACACCAGAAGGGACAACACCAAGAGCTCGTAGCTACAAATGGAAAAAAACCGTGACAGCTGGAGCTCGTATGCAGAGTTTTCATCTCAAGACTGAAAATATTCAGGCTACTCACTTATATGAAATGAAATAAGGGAGTTACTCCTAAATGCTATCACGAGAATGTAGATAGATTACAGCAGAGCTCCCATCCCTAAAAACGCAGATAAGAGAGCGAAGAGTCGAGGTCAAAGAGATGTTTGGCCGACAGATACCCAAGCAACCAGCTGATGTTAGGTCAAAACACGCAAATAATTAGAGTGATACAGACTGACACACGTCACAAAGAAGCTGCCGTCTGCCTTGTTATGACCACAAATCTTCTGCTTAAGATATTTTTGCTCCCTTTTTAAGTGAGACAAAGCACGAAAAAACACGTGTTTGACTTTTGTAATTGTCTTCAAAGAATGCATTCTTAAACCTTTATTGCAGTTGTCATATACATAAAGGTACATACATGACATCTGACCTGTAAATTGAACCCATCCTAAACATTTAGGGGCAGTGGGCTGCAGTGGGAGCAACTTGGGGTTTCAGCGTCTCGCTCAGGGACACGACAGTAGCAACCGGGGATCGAACCTCCAACCTTGGGGTTAAAGGACGAACCGCCCGCTGCGCTACAGCCACATTCTTCTGATAAGTTACATAAGAATTTCAGCCAAACTCACAAATTGCGTAGCCCAAAACTGAAATGCTATTATCTGAAGAGAGCACAGAGGTCTCTTTGTTTGAAGCTTTTGCTTCAGTTTCCTCGCAGGCACCTTCAGAATGAATCAGGTTTCAAAACCAAATCTAATTTATGACTCGTTTATTTTTTCCTGAGGTGACGGAGGTCAAGATCGGATCTTGAGAAATAAAAGACGGTTGTCATATTGATTTTTGTGCATCACATTTGTTAAAGACAATCATTTCAATGATCTTAAAACAATTATTTCACATAAGAATAAAGCATAAAAGCCTTCAGCTATGGTCATGACGACGGGCTTTGTTTCTGAGGATCCGGAGTAGCCAGCGGATATATACGTGCCAAGACTTCCTTTTCATTGCGCTGCTAATCGTTTACAGTCCGATTAGCAACTTGAGATGCGAGACTGGAGTTGGTGTGAGAGACGGCGAGTACGATCTTTGGGTTTTGGACTCTTGGTTGGACAAAACAAAAGATGTGAAAACGCAAATCTGGGCTCTTGGGACATGTGATGTGCATCTTTCACTATTTTCTTAAATTTAAAAACCAGACAGTGAATCATTAATGAGGAATATAATATACAACTATAACTATAATTAGTTACAGCCCGAGCCGAAGAGCAGCAAATTCCTGCAGTCAGGTTAGAAAATGACGTGGAGGCTCTTATAGTTGCAAATTAAAGCCTGAGGTATTGTCAATGTAATTCATACTAGAAGGCTTATTTCCTTATTAATTTACTTCTGTGAAATTGAATCCACATTATGAACAAGACCAAGAAAAGTCTGCAGACAGTTGAGACCACCGACATGGAAAAAAAAACATGTCCAAGAACTTTACAACATTTGTTTATGTTCTGCCTTTCACATGTCAAGCTATATCCTGTCGGCCCCTTTAATAGCAAGTGACTTCAAGTACAAGTCAGACATATAAGTGAACAGTGTTTAATGTTTTATACCAATAAACTGACAGATGTCGTCTGTGCTGCACATGCATGTGTAAGCTGCTCCGACTGCACACGGAACATTATTATGTTGTCTTGTTTGTGGAGGAGCCAGAACCACAGCGACTCATTGGCCTCGTCGCTTTTCTCACATTCTCACTTTCCAGCCTCCGTCAGAAGCTGCTTGCTTTGCGTCCACGACACGCACGAAACAAACAGCCGTCTTTGTGCGAGTACAGAGTGAGACACAATTTCCCAAAACATATAATTCTACCGTCGCCTGCTTCTGCCCACCGTGGCTTCATCGAATGAGAAATACAGCAGCAGTTGTTGTAATGCTACAAGTCTTAAAACTCGCTATACTGCTCCTGGTCTTCTTTTCTAAGAATTCCCCAATAAATGTTCTGTGTAAAACTTTCTGATATGATCTGAATCAGTTGAGGTCCTGCGGGTATCTAAGCCCTCTTCATCCGTAAACAGAAATGTAAGAATTAAGATGGCTTCTATTAAAATATCTTTTTTCTGCAAGGCTAAAGTTCAGACAAAACATTTGCAAACGTCAGTGTCGTTAAGTCCTTTTTATGCGGAGAAGGTAATATTACAGCGAACCAGGATCTTTGATCTGGTAGAAACACTGGCAATCAGTCGAACATGTGCGAACCTGCGTCATGATTGCAGGCTGAAAACAAAAAAACTGGTCAGATTATGGTACAGTTCTACACCGCGAGCTTGTAATGGACAAACGGAGGCTTTTATTCCATGTGTGGCCTCGCTACTTTCCAAGGATTCAGGATATCCAGACGTATACACAAGACATCCTCTAATTCCACATGGAAGAAACGTATGTGGACAATTACATTAAATAAACCCGAGGCGGTCCTCCCTCCGTTCCCTTTACTCACACTGGTGACTTTGCGGTAGATCTGGGCGGCGTTTTGGCACTCGGAGTACGGGTACTCAGAGGTGGCCATCTCCAGGATGCACATTCCAAAGGCGTAGACGTCCACCGCTTCGTCGTACTTCTCCTCGTACATCTCTGGGGCCATGAACTCTGGTGTTCCTGTCAGGGTTTCACAGGGCAGAGGTAACGGTCAACGGTGCTGCACATACAAAAGTACCACCTAATGTTACAAGACGAAGGGCTTGTTTCCTCGTCTTCTGTGCTTTTTCTAGTGTTTCAAAAGCAACTCCGGTTTTGTGCATTGTTTGTGTTTCAAAAATCAATTTCTTTGGTGATTTGACAGACGGAAAGACGACGGGATCCAAGCAGCAGAAAATGGAACTCTAATGCAAAATAAGAAGCATTTAGGAATGTAAACAAAGGCTTAATTTCATTGCAGTCCCTCTACAATTTAAGATTCATGGCATTTTCAATGTTTCAGCCAATTTCCAAAGAGCTCTTAAATAGTCATAAACTGTTAGATTTAAGCAAAATGGTGTTTCTGATATCAGTGGAAGGAGATCTTTGTGTAATTTATCTGACAGAATGTGCACTTACCAATGACACTTTTAGCGAAAGAGGCACTTTTGAGAGTGGCCAGACCAAGATCTCCAATCTTGACGGAGCCGATGGGGCCGGTGATGAAGATGTTGTCACACTTGAGGTCCCGGTGGATGATGGGAGGAGTGCGCGTGTGCAGGAAGTGAAGCCCTTTGAGGATCTGACGACTCCAGCGCTGCAGTAGCTTCAGTTTCATCTCCTTGAACCTCTTCAAGTACCTAGAACAAAAGAGGGACAAGACTAAACATCCCGTATTCAAACATGCACGGGGAGAGTGTGCCAGAAATAACTCATCTCTTATTTTGACAGCCAACAGGAAGTTTTAAAGTGAATTATCTCCCGGAAGATTGTATCCAAAGTGAAGCTATTCTTTATTCTGCAAGCTGTCAAACATCAGACTCTTTTCTATGGAAACAGGATATCCGCCATTTGAGAGATGCGACACCTTCTTGTAAAAAGACAGAGAGGAAAAAAAAGACACTGCTTTTCGTTATGGAGGTATTCAAAAAAAATCTTTTCTCATAAAGGACTGCAGTTTAAAGGGGAATCGGATGGAGGGACTCACGTTTTGAGCGTGCCTGAGGTCATGAGTTCAGTCACCAGGATGATGCACTTGTGGCCCTTCACCGTCGACTTCCAGGAGTCGTGGAAGCGGACGATGTTCGGGTGCTGCAGGCCCTTCAGCATCTCCACCTCCTCACTGAAGCGCTGTCGCTCCGCTTTGGTCAGTTTAAGGGTCTGGAGAGAACATCACGCTGTTGTGAGTTTACGTGCACAGTCGTTTAGTTACATGACTTATTAGCACCGTGTCATTTCTGTAACCGATGGAGTCACTTCAGCAGCTGTTTGTTTGCTTTGTGGCTGGATAAGATAACAAAAGACTTTGTTGATCCCGGGGACAAATTCACGAGCCTCAGAATCAGATTGCCATTTGGTTTCACGTCATTCAATCAGCCTGACATCGTCTCCGTGTTATGTTAGCCGATTTCTGCTTGGGAGAGGAGATGTTTTGTTTTGCACAATCAATGTCATTTTCAGTCAACACAGAAAGCGATATCGGTTGCTAGGAGCAGTCCTCTCAACATTGTTTTTAGCTCTGGCACTGGGCTAAAAAAGTACTGCGTTTACTGCTCTGCTGGCTTCTATCTGCAGTAATAAAAGCCTCAGACTTTTATTCCACCGTGTGGCTCATGATTATCATTGTTTTACTCTCTATCTAGTTACACCTTGTGTTGAGGATGCACCTGCATACATAGTAGCGAATGATCTGAAACCTCTTCGAGGTGTTTACATGCTACAGTATGCCAGTTCCTGAGCAGGATATTCAGGTTTCTCAAAACCAGGATAGAGTTTATCCAGGTAGGACCTTTATATGCACAAACACAGAAGTGGTATACTCCAAAAACCTGATCATCACCGGTATAAAAGTGTGATGTAAACACTCCAGAACAGTTAATAAATAAAGAAATTTAACTAGAAGTAAGACGTTTTTTTTTTTTTTTTCAAAGTCAGGAAAGAGCTGCATGCTGATGAAGGTCATGTGATATGACTGAAAGCTCCACTAAATGGACCTTGAGGTGAGACTGTTTTGTCAACCATAAAAGATGCAGTTGTGTTGACAGCTGAGTTGTGGAGCTCTGGTCCCGTCAGGGTTTTGTACGGTTACGTAAGAAGGTAGCAGTAAACACCGCTCGCAAATACACGGGACCAATTTGATAAATCACTGTTACTTTAACTAATGAGCTCACAGCGGGACCGGCAACCACAGGTTCATCCATCTGGGCCACCCTCCAGTTACATGATCACATTTATTTTCCAATAAGGGGAGCTCTGACTCGACACATGTCAGGTGGACGTTTCCGAAATCCAATGTAAAACTGAACCAAACACGGCAATCACGCTGGATGAACAAAGACATTTCTGTGCTTCCTCTTAGGATGAATGGCCCGATTTTAGCTGCTGCTGGAGTAACTCTGCCTGTGGTGGGTGGTTAGTGGAAAACTCGTGGGAGACTTCAGGACCATGAATCCTGCATTGAGGCGGATTTCTGGGAAAAAAGCTCTGCATATGTTTATGCTTACTATCAACTTAACCGCTACTCTCTCTCTCCTTCCTCTCTGCTCTTTCTCAGTGAGTGCAGAGGTGTTGCTGCTCAATCAGACTGTTTCAAGACCTGTCCGGTGTGAAGACGCACAACGCAAGACCCTCTTTTACCTGCATCAGTCACCTGTCAGGACATCATATTACACCAGCGACTCAAACATGAGGCCCGGGGTTCAAAAGAGGGACACAGAGGTGACTTTTTAAGTGGATCAGTTTATGATGTGAACACAGGCTGCAGCTTATTCCTCAAGACCTCTGTCAGAAACACTAAATGGTTTTACAAGAACATCTTAAAGTAATGTCTATATAACATGTTTATCCCTCAAATGTTAATGTATATTGTGAACAAGCCAGTTCAACTTTTATCTAAAAAGGACCTTAAAGACGTCAAATCAACGGACATTGAGGTCACTAGATTTGCATCTGCATCATGACATAAATTATGGCGTGAACGTGTGCGGTTTGTGCGTGAGCCAGGGTGAGTGAGTCAGTGGGTTTATATGGGTTGATGTGCATCTGGATATTTATGTATCTAAGCGCGATAACACCGGACCCCATGCATGGCGAGCTTTGTCTCCTGTGGATAGTCGCCTGTGCAGCGGACACCGAGTCAGCGCAGCACGCGCTAGTTGTGGCACGCGGCCCGAGCCACTCGGAGACTCTGACATATCCAAAACCGCAGGACTTACTAGAGTTTGGCATGCAAAACATTAAAAAGCAAAATGCAGACGATGTTTGGCAACTTCAGAGGAGCTCTTGGAAAAAACAGAAGTCCTGCTGTGGCAAAAAATGTGAGCCGTAGAACAAACTACGTGACTCATCAAAAAAGGTGTCCAAAAAACTGAGGAATTTCTCATTTAAAATGCCAAAGAAGTGGAAAATGAAGTACAGATGGAAACAACAAAGCACAGATATGAACTGCATTAACACTGCCATGCTGTTATGTGGTTTTATTGTTATTGGTTAATTTCAGGCTCACATAACGACTCCTCCCAGTAAAAACACGCACTTTAGCTGCTAACAGCAGGAAGGAAAAACCAACCACACAGTTTGACTGAGACTGTTTTCCCATCAGGACCAATTATTAGAAATGATTATTTAATTCATAACATATAACTACAGTGTGTTTCAATTAGACTTAATAATATCTGTCTTTGGTCAGAGGCCCTGTTGACAGCAGTGCACGGCTTCCATCTAACTTTTCCACCAGATATTTGACTGCATCTATCTACTGCTCTCTTCCTCCTCCCCTCGTTGAAAAGTGAGGCATGCGGGGGGGGTACAATTACAAACCACCTCCATTTTGAAAAGGCAAGCGAGTATATCCATAAAAACAGTCCAGATTAAGTGGTGTGTGAATGAGTATGAGCTAAAAGTTTTCTCATGCTGTCGCCTCTTCCAGCTGGATATTTTATTCTTAGCTGCTGCTGGGAAGTGTGTGTGTGTGTGTGTGTGTGTGTATGTGCAATAGCTGGGGTTGGAAATATTTGGGCTCGGTGCCACATAAGTGGAGTTACATAAGCAGTGTTGAGTGTTGATGGTAGAGGAGCCATTGGTATTAAGAAGTCCCTGTCAGCGCCCCTATTATGACAACCGGGACATGAACACGACATGTCAGCCGACATTTGCACTAAATACGGTGGCGTCTGCTGCGGGGTTTTAATACGTTTGCACTGTCCTGATGTAACACTCAAATAGATTAAGTCTGACCAGGATCCAGTCAGTGTGGGCAGACTGTGGTGTCTGTAGGAATCTTGACTAAACACAGAGGGAAAAGTAGGGCAAGTGAAAAAATAGATTCACTCATACCACTTATAGCCCACAAGGATTTAAGGGTTAGAAGCTGGAGTCTCAATGCAGTTTGTCAGCACCATGTCTTGAACACTTGGCTCCGCATTCAAAACGATGTTAAATTTACTACGAGGAACCTCGAAATGGTTATGAAACAGTCTCAGTTTAATACTGATGCCTCTATGTGACCTAAATAAATAAACGAGACCATCAGCGAGAACATGGCCTATTTCTATACATTATTATTATTATTATTCGTAACGCCCGTCATCGTTGCAAACGGGTTGGATTCCGCGTGAAATCAGTCATGCAGGTTCACAGAAAGTCCTTCAGCTCAGACTCCAGCAGCAACCGGCCCACCGTGGACAGAACCGGATCCGGCTTCGCTGTAGCCTTCGACCTGCAGTCGGAGCTCCGGCGGGAGGAGGAGAGCTGTGCACCCGGCAGAAGCGTCTCCTCCTCTGGCCGGGAGCAGAGCTTCGCTTCGCTAATTTGGCGCTACCAAGGTCACAATAATAATAGCAATTTCCTAAAACAGCTGGTCGCTGTAGTTTTATAAGGAACGTCATTTGTTGGGGACAATTTTCAGCCGTGGATTAACACACATATGCTGAGTTAGTATTTATACTGTACGGCATCAGGAACGTGAATGTGGGATTAACTCAAAATAAACCACAGTGCCCATGTTTGTCGTAATGAAGGAACAGGTCACACAGTGCAGCAGTTTGGCTCATTTATTAGTGTTTTTAATAAAGTAAATTGAGCTCTATGGCTCAGAGGAATGAGATCAGACTTTGGCTACAAAGACAACAGCCTACTTGTTAGTAGGACCAATTCTTTGTTGGCTTTGGTCTTTTCATTTGTTGACAATAAGAAATGTAACGGATATTGCCAGCTCAAATAAAGTGTTTCAGGGTTCTGCGAAATTGTAATAGCCATTTATGACTATTTTCTGATCATTTATAGTGTTAACACATTGACAATACATTGAAAAAATATGGTAAAGATTAGTTGGTTATGAAAACAAATATTAGTTGTAAAGCTAGAAAAGACTGTTAATAGACAGTATGGGATCGAGGCAGATGGAGAATATGTTCAAAATCTGTCAATCTGTCAAAGAAGAACTTTTTGTGTATTCCGGGAATAATCGTATTGATCTGGCATACTTTTCCGTGTACCTTGACCTCTGCTTGAACCTCTTTCTGACACCTCCTGCTTAAAACCCCAAAAAGTCAGAAGGATAAGGTAAGTCCTCCCCCCTCCTCCTCCCGTCTTCATCATACTAGGTCAAAGTTCACAGAGACCTTTGGATGACAGAGGGGAGAACCTTCAGAGCTCGGTGACGACCAGCTCGCAAAGAACTGGGATTGAGGTCAAAGGCAAAGAGGGAAAAAAACAGTTTGTCGTCATGCCTCCAACACTGACATACCCGTCCTGAGTGACATACACTTTGTATAAACACGCACGTAGGCACTTACACTGGTACAGTGTTGCATTTAGATGTTTGCAGGTGAGAACTGAGGTGGCAGTGTGCTCTTTCCAAGAGAAACCCAACATGTTCTGTAAACAGAGCGGGCAGAGGGAGGTGAGCCATTAATCTCATCAGGACCGGGGACTCAAACCGGCCTCTGACTGCTGCTCTCACACCGACTACCTGACCCGACTTGTGGCGCCCGGCTAATTGCTAATTACCTGCACGAGTAGGAGAGACCTAGATGCAGGATTACACTGTCTCTCGCGTATTTTCAACAGTGAAAAGTCTTTTTCCATCGGGTTTAGATCCTTATTTTTTTAGAAATTAATGTAATTTACAGCACGATCCGTGAAAAATCAACTTGTTAGTG